CAACAAAATCCCTTGAATATTGGAGGTTGCTAACAAACGGTCAATTATTTAAACCTCATTTATTTAAACAACATTCAAAATCGATCGATGAATACTTTATTGGATAAGCAAAAGTGGGAAGAGGGATGCCAAATATTGTGTATGCCGAAAGCTTGAGACGCGCGAGGCTTGAGGGGCTTGATATTTGATTGAATAAAATTTTATTTGATTTTAGGGAGGAAGAGTTAGCGCAAATGTGGGAAGGAGTTAAAAGGACAAAAGTGGGAAGAAGTCATTTGAGTTGCCTCCCCTTCCATAATGGATCCTAATATGGTATTAATGTTTAACTACTCCATCTATAATTTTAAAAACAGTACTTTATAACTTCAATCTTTATTTTTCCACTTTTCTAATTTGATTTTACGTTTTTTTAGTCTATTTTACACTTTGATTCAATCTTTTTTTTTTATTTCAAAGTATTCAACAGATTTATCTTACAAATTTGGAAATTTTGAAATCTATATGTTATTTAAAATTTTTGAAACACTACAGATTTATTGAAGGGTAGTTTCTATAGGGGAAATGGTAGGATAAATTTATCTATTTTGATGGGAGGGTAAATTTGTCTACATAAAATCACTTAGTTCGGCCCTAATTGTTCTTTAGTTATTTTGATGATATCTGATTATTTTGGCCATTTTTCAAATCAAAAATTTAATTTAGCTATTCCTTTAGTTGTCCTTACTATATTTGTATGTAATGGGCCAATTGGGCCATAAAAGACGATAAGGCCAGCCCATACGATCCGAATCGAATATCATACGGGTCGCGGTCCTGGACTTGTCGGGCCCGAAGCCTCTGAAGGAGATATTGAGAGGGGTCACTGCCATCAATTACTTGCTCGACCATTCTTCTCCTTCTTCTCTATCCTCGCCGTCGTTCGCTTCCTTCAGCGGATAAGGCCCCTCGGAGTTTGCTCCGAACTCCCGCCGGCCGCTAAAATTCTTGCCGGTTTCGTCTTCTGCAGAGCTACTGGTTCGTGCCGAGTTCTTACGGAACCTTTTGCTGAGAAAATGGCTCATACTTTCGCCTACACGTCTGCCTCGTCTTTCAGATTAAACTCCCTCGTTTCTGTTCCCAATTCTAGCTCTTCTTCCGAGTCCCAGAAGCTCTTTCTCCCCCTGGACCCTTTTCAGTCGAGGTACTTCTTTTGGTCTGTCTTCCTATTTTGTGTTTCGATGCAATGTTAGTTTAGTTTTAAGGATGGGTCACCTGAATTGGGTGTTTGATTGTGAAATACCCTAAATGTGAGAATCGGGAACAGTGAGCATCTTTGAATCGAGTTGGATAGACTGTAATGGGTTGCCTGAATTGATGTATTATTGAACTTGGTTCGAAAATGGAAGGATTTCGGTGTCCGATTGGACTTCGAGTATTTGCTGATTACAAGTGCCAAGAGGAATTCTAGGCTTTTTGCTGGTTTATGAAATTGTGAAAAGTTGCTTTTGTTTTATTTTGTTTTTTTCAACATTGTTCAAAACCTGTTTCCTTAAGATTCTTAATTTGTTGTTTTATCCTCAAGTCTGTTACCATGTTACGCGTCTGGGGATAAACTTAAATTCAAACCCCTATCGTTTCTTCTTTATCTTTCTCGATATCTCCTTTTCTGTTGCACATGTTTACTCTTCTCTTAATTGGAGTAGCAATGGGTAATGTCCTCACTATTTACAGGAAACTAGGAAAATTAGTTGGAGGTGGAAGAAACCTCAAGAATACTCCAGTCAAAGCCATCTACTCAAGCGAGTTTTCGTCTCTGGATAGGAGTTCTCGCCAGGGCCTTTGGTCTATAAGGTAGCATAAATTGATTTACTTGGAGTTTCCCATTTGTTCTTATGGGGCCAAAGATGGCTATAATTATTATCAGCTATTAACACAATAGACATAAATAATGGATTTTGAAATTATATTCTGTATGCTTAACAGGGATGATGTGCAAATTCCATCTTCACCATACTTCCCCACTTATGCGCAAGGGCAAGGTCCTCCCCCGATGGTGCAGGAACGCTTCCACAGTGTTATAAGCCAGCTTTTCCAATATGTAAGAGTGTAGGTCTGCAGTATTTATTTCCTTCACCCACATTTGGTGTTGTGTAGACTTGTAGGTTGCTATCACCATATTTTGATAATCTTGTTTTCTTCTGGACTAGAGAATTATTCGTTGTGGTGGAGCGGTTGATGATGATATGGCAAATATCATTGTTGCTCAACTTCTATACCTTGATGCTGTTGATCCCAATAAGGTTCCATTTTTCTTTTCAATTCATTTTGCCGAAGTAGCTCATATCTAGTCCATCAACATTTCTGCATAATTAACCAATTAAGCCTCTATGCTTCAACTAAATACTTTTGGTATGCTTAACAGGATATCGTCATGTATGTAAATTCCCCTGGTGGATCAGTTACAGCTGGTAATATTGAAATCAGAAAACTATTTCACTGATATTTGTTTCATTGGAAATTGGGATTAGTGTTATCTTTTAACGACTGATTTACTTGGATCTCTGTAGGTATGGCCATTTTTGACACTATGAGGCATATTCGGCCTGATGTATCTACTGTCTGCGTAGGGCTAGCAGCCAGGTACAAGATTCATCGGATCAGTACTTTTATGAGCTGAGATGTTATGTTTTTCTCCATGTATATACCCAAGTGTTATTTACAAAATGTGTTGGGAATAAATATTGTCTGAAATAGTCGTAGATGTCTTCCTCATGTTTACAATTATCATCTTTTTCTATATTGGACTAGTTTTACGGCCTACATAATGCAAATAGTTCGTGAAGGCTGGAGCCTTCATTATTATATTTCCTCCAGAAGGCCAGGTTAATTGAAGTGGATCAAGCTTAGACCAGTCCAAATGTTTTTAGTTTTAGTTTGGTTCACCCTGTAGCTCTACTGCACATATCTGTATTTAAAATCAACAAAATTATGGATTAGGTAGTCCAAGCGATGTTCTGAGGCATAAAACTTGGTGTTTTAGCGTGCTGCCCAAATTTATTGAAGATCTGTCTGGCAAAAAAGGAAAATATATTTACAATGTTTCATAGTCAGGCACGGATGCATGTAACACAGACTCAACTTTTCTCGTGCAATTATATCAATAGCTTAGGAGATAGAAAAAATGGGAAAGAATGAATGACTACGAGGCGTTTTCCTGACCTAGAGCTTTTATCTGTAACCTTTACCCCTCATTTTTTAAATCAATACGTGTGTTCTTGCAATGACCTTTCTGTTTTTTGGATTATGAACAGTATGGGCGCCTTCCTGCTTAGTGCTGGAACTAAAGGTACACGTTTTTTCCTTTATAAATTTTTAGGGGGTTCTCTTTTCATAATTTTTTAAAGTGAAATAGTTTCAGTGTATTAAGTATGCACCTCCTTTCTCTTTAATTTCTGAAGGAAAAAGATACAGCTTGCCAAATTCAAGGATAATGATCCATCAGCCTCTTGGTGGTGCTCAAGGTGGACAGACTGACATCGATATTCAGGTATCCTCATATTCCTCTTGGATGATCAATAGATGATGAAATTCTACATTTTTTCATAATTCTTGTAATATTTCCTTTCGCTTTATTCTATTGTCAAGGTATTTCATTATAATTTATGATAGAGCTCTGAGGGTGAGTTTGGGGAGTTATCTGAACTAAGCATTTTTTAAAATCAGAAGGCTTTTTTTTAAGTACTTCCAATGAGAAGTGCTTTTGATGAATTAGTTTGTTGTCTGAGTCCGGTATTTCAAAATGGCTTTTGCCCTAATTGGAAATGCAGAGAGTGGGTTAAGGCGATGTTAATGAGAGAAAACATGTGTAGAGAGAAAGCATGTGCCAAAAGTTGATGAGAAAAAACATGTAGAGAGAATCTAGGGAGAGAAATTAATGAGGGGTGAAAAGGAAGATTGGTTAGAGGAAGTTTGTGTATGGTGAAATAAGTGAGTATGGGTGTAAAGACAATCTACGGAGTGAAAGTGTGTGTACAAAGAGATAAGTGGGATAAAGTATACCTGTACAAAGAGATGAGTGAGAGGAAGTCCATGAAAAGAGAGATAAGTAAGAGAAGTGGGGTAGAGAGAGACTAATGATAGAATTTAGGCCCAGTCCAGTCCAAATTTTGTTCTAAGGAAGCCCATTTCGTTCGTGATTGAGAATACAAATTTGAAACAATGAATCTAACAAAAAGATAGTGATAGATTGCTTTTCATTTATCAATTGTAGTAGGAAAGTATATTGCCTGGGATTAAGATATTATAGATTCTCTGGTTTCATCCATGTCAATGTCAAATATTTTCTGAGAAGCCAGTCCCTCACCGTAACTTGCTTGTCAGGCAAATGAAATGTTGCATCATAAGGCAAATCTTAATGGGTATCTTTCCTACCACACCGGTCAAAGTCTCGAGAAGATTAACCAGGATACAGATCGCGATTTCTTCATGAGTGCCAAAGAAGCCAAAGAATATGGACTCATAGATGGAGTTATCATGAATCCTCTCAAAGCCCTCCAACCTTTAGCAGCTGCAGCTGCCACAGAAGCCGAGCCGGGTGCGTAAATTTTATCCCGCTGTGTGACCAACTAGATATTCATCTTGTAGATTTAAAAGCAAAAAATAATCTTTAGTGTATGAAGATTTCGACCATTAACAACATGGCTCCCATGCTTTTATTGTAGCTTAAGCTTGAGAAATAGCTCTCTCTTAGTTAAATCTGTGGTTTCACACTTTTGATTTATTGTTGCTTGTTTCATTACACAAGATATTATATTGAAATGTCCATTAAATTTTAGCCTCTCTAATTGGTTGGGATACCATGAATGATGCTAAGCCCAACACTTGGCGACGTCTGATTAGTTGTTTTGAAAAGATGCCGCCGACCCTATAAAAGACTTCATTATTATGTGGTCACTTTGTTGATTGTGGATTAATTCGTGTTAGGTTTCAATAAGAATTTCTAATGCATTCTGTTGCTTTCCATGTACGTTGCAGAGGGAGGGTTTCTTATCCATGAACTTTGGTTGTTTCTGATATTTAAGTTTTTTTTTTCAATGGAGTTGTTGCATTATTGGTATGTTTCTGGAGAAATCTGGTCCTGAACTAGAGTTACTTTCATTGTAAATTATTTTTATAAGAAATATTTCAATAAGATAAAATGAAAGAATATATAAAGTGGATACAAAAGATAAGCTTGACAAAAGGGATCGATCTATAAAGAACTTGAGAAGAATAATACCAAACTGATGATTACAGGAACGCTTGAGATCAACACCCACATAGTTAAATCTACTCTCAAACTTCCTCTCAAGATCTCTCAACCTATTTCTTTCAAGCTCAACACCCACATAAAATAGCAAACAACTGGAATTATTAGTCATTATTGATATTGATGATGTTTCCATCTTGTTTCTTTATTATTTTGGTTTTGGAAATGGGAAATTGGATTGTGTTTTATAAGTACACACGTGCACGTGTGGTGCATCTGAATTTTTATAGTTTTTATTTTAATGTTTAAAAACACTAAAATGATTTTTTTTCCTATAAAAAACACATATTCATAAATTTTTCATCTTTTTATTTCCTAATCATAACCATGTATAAAAGCAAATAAAACTTTGTTTTGATTTATTATTTGAGTCGTTGAAAAAGAAAATGATAAAAAAAAAGAGTATGTGATCTCTTAAACTTTTTGAATAAATTATTTATATATGGTAGGTAATCAAGTATTATTTTTAGAATAACAACTATTAACATTGCATTGGAAAAAAACTAAAAGTTGAATGTTCAATCAAATAATCTAACAAAAATATAAGAAAATACGAGACATTGTGGAAAATAAAAAGTAACAAAACTTTTGAAATTCCTTATTAAGTTATAACTTTTTAATTAATTCATAGAAACAGACAAATAAAACTATACATATTCTAACTCTTCTAACATCTGAGAAGTTGAGTTTTTGAGAGAGATAAAATTAATTTGAGAAAATTTGAATTTGTAAGGACCAAGATAATATATTTTGAAAGAAATGAAAAAGAAAAAAGAAGAAAAAATTGAGGGAAGCGGGGCAGGAGAGAAAGAGAAGGAAAGAATATTATTGAACATAAATATTATCCCTAAAATAAATATGAAAATGTTTAAATTAAAAGAATAAAGTAGGGAAAAAAAAGTTTCTCCCTATAGCCTCATTGTTTGATAGAATAGATGTTTGGACGACTTTTGAGAGTAGTGCTTTTGCGTGAATGATTTTTCTACTAAAGTTACTTTATAGCGTGTGTTTGACATGTCTTGAAAAATATATTTTTAAGAAGAAAATGAGTTCAATACTCCCTCTAAAAGTACTTAAAGTAACTTTTATCCATTTTTATAAATTTTCAAACCACTTTTCATCATCAAAATAATTAGAAACTTAGAAGCGCTTTTTTATTTGGTAAACAACACTTTTTACAGTTTAAAATTTTAATCAAATATTATCATTTCTTAAAAATGTGCTTTTATAGCTCTCGATTCTGATTACGTTTAACTATTTGCAATTATATTATAATTTGAAACTCGTAAACTTTTGCAAATTGAAAATGAAAGAAGTGGAAATTAACTATTTTTCCCTCATATTGTTATTTTATTCTCTTTTTTTTTTTATTTCATTGGCTTGTAAAAAATTAATAGGAAGGGTCCTTTTAAATAAACAATTTTTTTTATTTGAGGATAGCTTTCAAATACGCACCCTACTTATTATTAAAACAAAAAATTATTTGTTTTATTTAATTTACATTCGTGAATAATTTATTTTTATAAACTATATTGCGATTATTTTTAAATCATGTTGAAATAATTTCTCATCTTTAACATTTTCCTCTAGATTGATGCTGAATCTACCCGCATAATTGTTCCAACTTTTATCATCTTTAATCTTCTCGTAATTTAAAATTTCATCTATTATTTTTTTATATGTATATATATGTGAGTGACCAGATTGATTTGCTCAAATCTTGACTATTCTCACAACACAACCGTTTGACTCTACTACAATATCGTTGTCAAGATAATTTGTGAGATATATATAAAATTTAATCTATTTGCTACTACATTAAACTGCAATGATATATTTACAAAAGAGAGATAATCGACATGACATCTACTCGAACACGTTGTTAAAGATTGTGAAGTTAACAAAAAGGTGAGAGAGAAAATTAACAAAATAATAAAAAAAAAAAGAGTCTTACTATGAAGAAGATTAGTACTTTAAATTATTTGAGTGTAGTATGACATTTTGAATGAAGTGAAATCACTCAAATCCATTTGAAAGCTGGTCTAAAAAAGAATGACTTATATGGGCAGAAGAAAGGACTGTCCTTAAAGCTAATTTAGGATTATGCATACAAGATATGGGCATTTTAATTTTGGTACACAAAGTACAAAGTGGACTTTTTGGATAAAAGATTTGGGTATGGCTGACAAATAAGAGAAAAAAATGTCAAAAAAATAAAGAAGATATTTTTTCTGTCTTTTAAAAAGTAAATAACTGTCAAATTTTTAGTAACAATTCAGAGGAAGATAGGTACATCAGACCGGTAGATCGATTGATACCTAAGTATTATTCATTTCTTTAGGTCTCAAAACTAGAAAGATTGTATCAAAAAATTATTTTTAACACAATTTATTTTCAATCATTGACTAAATATATCCCTGATGTTTGTATCATTTTTAATTTTCTCTAATTTTTTATTAAAAAATTTCCAATCTTATCCTTTAGGTGCTTAAAACATTAACAATCTCGTATATCCTTAATAGATTCTTAAAATTCATGGATCTATTAGATACAAAATTAAAAAATCAAGATTCTATTAAACAAAAAATTAGAAATTTAAAAACTTACTAAATACTTTTTAAGGTTCAAGAACGAAGTTTAACTCTCCCGACTAGATAAAAAGGGGAAGTGAGAGATGTCCCACTCTTCACAACTGCCCAAAACCAAAAGCAGATCATGTCTTCTCTATCCTTCATATCCTTCCTTTCCCCACTCGTGAATCTCGTGCCATTTTTCCTCCTTTCTCTTTTTCTCTGTCTTAAATATCTATACTATCCACAAATAACCCTAATCTCCTCTCTCTCTAACTACATTTTCTTGTACTAAGACGTCGAGTTTATACTTGATGTATCAATTTGTCTATTTCGAGTCTTACATTTTCCGATCTTATTTAAACCAACCATCACACTCTCAATGGATTAGCCTAATGATAGAAAGACTTTTAAAGAAATGAGTTCAAACAACACCTCGCCGTAACCACCCACTTTAGGATATTAAAATCCTACCGATCAAGGTGGTTTGGAGTGAGGGTTTGTATAGGCTTGGCTTAAGAGATGTCAAATCTATGTTTGCCCCGTGAATTTGTCAAGCTTGGGGGTTATTGGTTAAATCCGCACACCCTTATACAATTTTCATGAGCTTGAATAGGTTTTTTAAACACAAACTTTCTAAACTCTTCCCTTAATCTCATAGGCTTTTATAATCCAAATTACTTGACGTCAAATTTCACCCCAAATGTTCCTATCGTACCAGCATGAGCTTAACTAATTGAGTTAAGACACCTATCTCCGATCAAAAGATCGTAAGTTCGAATCTATACTTCACATGTTGTACTAACAAAAAGAACTCCTATCATTATATCAGAGTTTAGGTATATACATAAACTATCCCAAATAATCTAATAGATACTACATCAAGTTTAAACTTATATCTTAAACTATCATCTATCAGATTAGGAGTTCACAAATGTATATTTCTCAAACTCAAGATCCAAACTTTACAAACTCAGTTTTCTCAAATCCATAACCCAAGCACCAAGTTGAAGGGTTTGGAGATACATAATGCTATATCACTGCAACAACTCTCAGATAGCAAAGTTCAGATTTAGTAGCCCTCTTATTACTTTGAAATACTACATTTATCTATCCTCCCACATCTCTTTTAACTTAAACTCAAATGAAAAACTTTACCCAAACAAGAAACAAAAAGGAAATAGGGCAAAGGGTCTTCTCTTTCATGAAAAAAGAGACAAAAAGGGCAAATTGGAAAAGCTTGAAATAGTGGTTAAAATAAAAAATGTAAAAATAGACATATTTTTTATTACTAGGCAAAATATGCACAACTTTCAAAGATCAGAAGAAGGGAGCACTAGAAAAACAGCACAAAGATCAAGAAGGGGCAGCAGAGATCCTAATTTCATCAAAAAAGTAGCCTCTCATATTCAAGCTTGAAAATGGTGGAGGAGTGGGCAACTCCTCAAGTTCATCAAAGAAGTCATTTTCTTCTGACTTGTTTGTTGCAGCTGACAAGTTTATGAGCTGATGAGAACATGAAGAAGAAGAAGACACATTATTAGTTTGCTCCAACACTTCTTCTTCTTCCTCTTCTTCTTCTTCTTCTTCTTCTTCTTCTTCTTCTTCTTCTTCAATCATTTCTTCTATTGCTTCTCCATCACTTGGAATAATAATGCTGTGATCTTGCTTCATGATCTCTTGCCCTTGATTTGGAACAAGATCCTGGCTCTGATCCAACGGCTGGGGTTGAATCTCCTCTGATTGTTGATCCAAATTGAGGGTGGAGATGCTAGGACCTGGATGGTTATGGCTTGAAGTATATGTTATGATGAACATTGAACCATCTGTTTTGCATCTCTCAACTTGCTTTTTTGCAGAACAGCCCTTGGTTGTGCTACATCTATAATAACCCCTAAAAAGAAGAAGAAAAAAACCCTGTTTGAATTAAAGAAAAAGGGAAGAGAAAAAAGGGGGCTTTTTTTTTTGTGTGTGTGTGGAAGGAATGAAAATGGAACCTTGGATATGGAGATCCTTTAATGGGTTTTTGGCCATATTTTCTCCAAGACCAAAAATCAGGAGGTGGCCCTTCATTCTTCAACTTCCCTGTTGTGGCCTTTATAGACCCAATTTTTACAGTAACCACAGTCTTTTGCACAACTTTTCTGCAAAAACATGAAGAAATGGAGGCAAAAACAAAAATAGTTGTTCTTTTTTTCACCCAAAAGATCCAAAAGAACAATTTTTTTCCAAAAGGGTTTGAAAAAAAACCAACCTTTTTCTGGAAGCACCATCTTCTTCATCTGGGTTTGGTTTTTTTAGAGAGAGAGAATGATCAGAAACCTCCATCGCTGCCTTTGCCTATAATTTTCTTCTTCCTCTCTTCTTCTTCTAAGCATTTGTGAGAGAGAAAAGTGAAGGACTAGGATGATGAAGAAGGTGCAGAGCCCATTTTGATGAAGAGAGAGAAAGATGGGGGAAAGATGACAAAACTACCCTCCCCAAGTTGCTGTCTTTTGTTTCTCATCACTCATTTAATATATAGAGAGAGAGAAAGGTTTGGGAATTACATCAAGGCCACTGTCTACAACCTCCCCATGCGCCCTTCTCCTCAACCAACCCCACGCCTTGGATTTACAAATTTACAATATACAAAATTAAAGAAATAAGGGGCTATTATTGTAATCCATAGAAGAAGAATGGTGCCCCACGCTAAACTATTTGTGGGGCCTAAGGGTAAATTGGGAAAATTTTGTGGCCTATTTGGTATCGGTATCGTTTTTCGTTTAAATTTTGACAACAGAGAAAATAAGTTTCTAATTTATGGCTCAGTTTTCAATTTTATCATTCTTCAGGACCATGTAATTTTATCCTTTTTTTTTATTAAAAATGGAAAAACAATAACAAGAAATGATCAAATGAACCTTTAAAATGTCATGCTAATATAGATACTATTTTCATTTATTATCAACTTCGTCGATATTATTTAAAAAGAATGATGAGGTGAAAAAAATTTATGGGGTTAACCTATGAAATATGTATTATGGGAGATTGAAAATTTTTATATTTTATGTTTGTGTTAGTGTGATTTTCTTTTAAAATATTATATCACCAAGGGAAGGTGTGAATTTAACTCAGTAATCTTTTTAAGAAAAATATGGATGTCTTAGTTTTAATATCGTCTTTAATATTTAAAATAAAACTTGGACTGAATATACAAAATGATGATGGTAATTCTTAATTTGGTTCTGGGTCATATTAATTTATTGATTTTACCTTTAATTATTAACGATTGTTAATTAAGTTCTATCATAAAATTTTTGTTAAAACAAATTGATGCAATATTAAATTATTGTTTTATCAACGTATTTCACACATGTTTAATATTTCTTTCGAGTTTTATGATGATCACATGTGAAATTAAATGAATGCTAGCAACTAACAACTTTATAAAAAAGAATCTTATTTTTTAAATTTATGCATCATTATTCTTTTAACATTTGGTAGTGATAAAAGCTTCCCTTTGAAATTTAAAAAATGAAGTTTTATATGGGTTGGGTAAGTTTTTTCTCGGTGGACATGTCATTTTATTGAATCAAAATATAAAGTATTTTCCATTCAACTATCAGAACTATATTGATATTATGTCACATATTTTATTAATGAGTATTGATAAGCTACGAAAGTAAAAACTTGAATTAAAAAGAATCAATACATGTAAAAAATGAAATTGAAAAATACGAACATGTTAAAGGAATAAATTATATATTTAGCCATTTTTAATATACAACTATTCTGGCCTTTCAACTAATTAAAAAAATTTATAAAATTTTGATGATGCTTGATTATATTTTAAAAGGTTTGATTCTCATCTACTCTAGAACTTTTAAGATTATCTTATTTTGGTCTCTCAACTTTTAAGATATCTATTTTAATTTTAAAATTTTAAAATTTATTACATTTTAATCAACAAACATTTAAATAACTCGATCATGTGAGCATAAACTTAAATTTATAGGTCATTTAAGATGTGTATTTTACGGATAACAATATTAGGTGATACTTAATAGTATAACAGTAAAAGATTAAAATAACTCTTACTTTGAAATTATATGGATTAAACTAGGATTTAAATCAATAATATATAAAAAAGGGTGTTTTTCAAAATTGTAAAAATACTTGGAAGTATTATTACAAAAGTACCATTTTAAAATGAAGTGCTTTCTTATTTAAGGCAAACACTTTAAAATATTGTTCTAAAAAAAGCACTAATTCATATCCATAATGCCACACCCACCAAGAAGTTAATGGAACTTTAAGGAACTTGTTGAATCAACTTTATATCCTCACCACACACAAGAATTTGGAGACTATGCAATTGCAAATTGTCATCATTTTCATTAAGAAGGTCTCAAAAGTAAACTTTGAAAGAAAGACTCCCTAAATTAGCTACCCATTATAGATTCTGTTTGGGGAAGAGAATACCCTGGACACGTGGAGGACCCCTATTGGTGCTCCAAGATGACTCATGAGTCATGCCCAGCTCGGACGGCTGAGATCACCACCACTAGCATTGACAGATGCTAAGTATGAAGGCCGAGGTGAACCTGGCCGAGGTCCGACCTACCGGGAAGCTCGGTGGGGGCCGATGTGAGCTACTGTCAGCGGCGTGATTATCGGGTATAACCGTCGGTCCCGAGATTACCGGGTGTAACCGTCGCGAGATTAACGGGACTACCACCCATAAGTAGAGGACTTCACTCCACGATCAGGTACGATGATTTCTGACCTCGAACTAAACTGGGAATCCGACCTATACTGACTTGATCGTCGGAGTGCTCACCTTTTTGTGCAGGTCCGCCCAGGTATTCAGATCGGTCCGGAGGCCGAGTTCGAGCTGCAATCTGAAGTACACTGTTGTGCATATCCTTGCATAAACAGATTCTTTTATGATACAATTCTCATTTTCCACCCTCTCTTTTTTATCTTTGTAAAATCCTCCCCAACCAAATGAAAGTGAGCCGAGCTTTTTCATGAATAACGGATGACTTATACTAACTTCTAAAGTATTAAAACATTTGTCGTTTCAAAAATTTTGAAACTGCCAAAATAAGGATGGTGAGAAACCATCAATATTTGTCTTTCTAATGAACCGTTATAGAAATCTTTGAGATCTTGAATTTATATCACCTAATGTTCGATTCTACTTATTCTTAACTTCCACCAATGGTTGAATTTTCTTACGAGAATTAATTGAGGCTCAATTACAGAAGTTCTTAGGTAACGCTTAGAACAACTTCATAATATTTATTGTGTGTTACTTTATTATTATTTTTTTTAATTGAAAAAATAAATTTTTATTAACAGTTTTAAGGTCAAATTGTAATGACTATTTTCTATTAGTTTAAGAACGGACCTTACGATATTAAATTTTTTTTTTTAAATCTTACGGATTCCTCCCCATAGTAGTTAAAGTACAAGTCTAAACTCACAAAATATAATGATCTAGTATTGTTGCAATATTGTAACTTACAAACGATGAACCCCAAAAATTGTTCAAAAAGCTTTGAAATTTTCTCATATTGAACCGCCAAATTTTCTTGATTTTTTTCCACCTTTTGAACAATATAAAGGAAAATTAATTTTACAAATTAGTAAACTTGGCAATTTACTAATTTTGTATTGTTTTTTTGTTTTTAATCAAACTTGGCAATTTACTATTGATTTCAAATGATCAGTTATATGGAAAAAATGGGTAAGATCCATGGTCCAAATAGGCCCAATTCTGAACAATAACCATAGTCTCCAGAATTACTTCATTGGATCAACTAAACTAGATGTGTATGAAAAATATGGTTTGAATATTTAAAATAAAGATAAAATAGTTTTATCTGAAATAAAAGAATATTATAATGACTAAAATTTCTAATTCTCTGGCCCACCAAAAAAGGGGTTAGTTTAAAACTATAAGAGTTTCACGAAGGTAGAACCGTTCTACCAACTTAATATGAGCCCAGCATAATTCAGCACTTATAAAATATTTTAAAAATTTAGAGATTTATTAGACATAATTTAATTTTGTGTTTAATAAATAATTTTTTAATTTTGTGTCTAATAGCCAAAGCAAACACAGTTAGCAGTAATTGACATTTTGAATTTTAAAAACGTATCAAGATTCATTAGACACAACCTTAAAAACACCCTTTGTTGTTTCACAAGTAAACTAATAATTTAACCAATATTATATTTCAAAAAATTAAAAAGAAAGGAATGCAGTCACATATTCCATTCCACACCCTTCAATCCATTCCACTAAGTTTTGCTCATCTTTCTTTTTTTTTTTCTTTATGATATAAACATAAAAATACATATATATTTTTAATATATTACATACATGCATATACAAAAGATAAAATATATAGTTGATGATTGGACCAAGTCTCAGTCAACTCATCATCTGAATCTGTGGACGTGGCATCCACTTTATAGTTATGAGATTATTCCAAACAGCAAACTAATTATCAACTTTATAAACATTATTTCATTTGCCATCTCATGTATATTAATACACCAAACAAATCCTTCGTCTTCTTAAAAAAAAAAAATCTAACAGAATTATTTTTGTCCATTTCCTAATTTCTTGTTTGCTCTCT